CTTACCTCGCTGTTGATGATGCTGGTGTGGAAGACTGTCGCGGCGTAGAAGTGCGGCGTTGTGGATGCTGCTGGGAGATACACAGGGAGAGTATACTTTGCGGCAAGATACTGGGTGACACGTGAAGACAGCAGGGGGACGACAGCTTGGTGGGAGGAGGAGAACACACCTTGGTAGGTGCGGCACTGAGGAAAGGCTGCACCAGAGAAGATAATTGATGACTTCTCTGTGGATTTCAGCAACAACTGATTGTTATTGTTTTTGATTGGTGATCTTCATCCAGCAGGGAGGATGAGCTAAGTATTCGGCACAGCCTTGATTGCCCTTGCATGCTTGTTGCTGGAACCTGGAATGCGAACCGGCCTCTCGATTTCCAGTCGTTGATTTCCCGCAAAGCCTGCAGTAAATGGTAATAACTGGCATTGTGGAATTTGCTGTCGTTTCTTTAAACAGTTTATTGCGCAACATTCTTGGTCCGCATGGCTTTCTTTTGGACCTGGTCACATGCATCAATGCATCGATCTTTTTTTTTTTGTGTGTGTGTGTGGTCTGATGGACCACAGATCAGATATTAAACTGATCAGAACAGATACTACACTTGATCTTCGCCAAAAGGCCGAGAAAGGTATCTTGACCAGGTTCATTGTGGCATACTGTGCAGCCACACGGGCCCTGCAGGCCCCGTCCCGGACCTTCAGCCTGTTTTCCTACAGGGAAACTTCCAGGCTCTTGCCTGGAAGCTTCCTTCTGACAGGGCCTACAGGCCCCAGCCTGTTTCCCTACAGGGAAACTTCCAGGCTCTTGCCTGGAAGCTTCCTTCTGACAGGGCCTACAGGCCCCAGCCTGTTTCCCTACAGGGAAACTTCAGGGAACTTCCAGGCTCTTGCCTGGAAGCTTCCGCAGGGTCTAGGCCAGGGAGGCATTGGCACGGCCAGCCTCCTGCACGGGCCAGCACTATAAAGGACTGGCCCGCCCTGCAGGAAGAGGTCGGTAGGCAGAGGTAGTCTTCAGGATTCGGCCGCAGCACTCAGGAGGAGCGCTGCAGTAGTCTTCAGCGCTAGGCAGTAGTGGTAGCGCTAGCTGTAGTCTTCGGCGCTGGGCGC